GCAAAACACTTTACACTACGTGTCCGGTCTATGTGTTCTCTGGTTAGTGGCAATAAGTATTTGTCAAATTTTAATAGTCCATTTACCGAATATCAAATATAGTCATTTTAATATTTGCAAATCTAGTTCACCGCTCCACAGCTTTCGCTTAATGCGGCTATCAGCCCTGGTAATGGGATTCCACAGACCAGTTCGTCCGCGAACGAACTGCAAATAAAACGAAACAAAACAAAAACATCTGTGCGGCTTGTAGGTTAGTTTTGTTTTATAATAAATGCAGTAAACAAAGTTATCAGTTAAAATGAGCAATTTGATCAATTTCGCGCTCAGGCATGGTGCCAGTTACTTAAAAAGACACACACTGCAAAGCCTACGCAGTACGGTGCCAGCAATAACTAGTAAACTGCCGGCTGCAATTGCGCCAATTCGCAGCCAATCGACCAAAGCTGCCTATGATGTGAGCACAAATGTGCCAAAGGATATTATATTGTTCAAATATGAAAATCCGAAATTCTACAAAATGCTAAACTTCTTTGGCCTGTGCCAATTTGTGTTTTGGACGTATTTATCGCATTTTGCATTTACGACGCTGAAAGATGCGCCCGTTGTGGAAAAACCAGGCGAAGAACTGAAATGGTATCAGCGCATAAATCTGGGCGAGAACAAGTATAAGAATGGCATTACTATATGCTGTTTTTTGATAGGTGAGTGGATACGCTATCATATTAAAGACTTCAAAGTATTGAACATGTTTCCTCTTCAGGCTATGGCATTTTGTTTGCCGTTTGGATGTTTACGTTGCGTTCGGTGCGGTTTCTCATTTTACGAAAAGGCGGGGACAGCGTCTCCTTTGTGACCTATGGACCATTTAATCGTAACCGTATTATGACTGTGCCACTGAAGTGCATCTCAGCGGAGGAATCACGTGAAATGGCTCGTGTACAGCTGCCCATTAAGGTCAAGAACAAAGCGCTGTACTATGTACTGGATATGCGGGGCGAGTTCCGTAATCCCCAATTGTTTGACTATACTGCAGGATTAAAGCGTCGTATTTGAAATGTTTTTGTTTTGTTTAATTATAGTTTGTAAATATACATAAGCTAATTTAAACCTAAACTGTGGCTTAATAGATGGGCTCCGGCTTCTGTGTGAGCAACAAACCAAAACGTTTCTTGATGGTAATGCGCTGTCGGGAATATTTGTCCTCAGGTGAAAAACGAGCTGGATGTGCGGACAAGGTGGGGCGACCGTCCTCCGTACGTTTCTGCAAGAGATGGTTACATATCAGTCCCACTATTTATTGCACTTTCACTAAACCTACCTTCAGAGTATAGATGCGCTCACCGTTTTCACCAATTGTGTACATAAGATACATTTTTAATGATTTATAAAAAGTGCGTCTTCTTCACAAGCAAATATAAACACGTGTGGCGTGCAGTGCTGCGCAACGATGAATGCCGCTTATCACATTGAATGGACATTTTAATATCGATACGGGTAGATGCGATAGCTTAAACCTGAGTATCGATATTTAAAAGAAGAATTCTAATTGCTGCTGCTTAACACTGTTTTTGTTTATTTCTATGCGGATTGGCGCTTCAATTTGTTAAAAATTTAAATTAAATAGAGATCATGTCTAATAAAGCTGACAAACTGCTTAAACAGGCTATGCGCGAGCAGCAGAAGCGTATTAGGCCTGGTGAATGTCAGAAGTATGTGCGCATAGTACTAGATCAAGGGCTACTGCGTATTCCCTGGGGCCAGGAGCTGCTTGAAAAAATAAATAATACGGATCTAAAGTATGAAATACGCAGTTTACCTGCACGCAACTGCATTATATGGGAGCGCAATGTCGGCCAACAGACACTTGTGGCGGGCGTCGAGTTAGAAGATGCCTGGCGCATGGAGCAACAGGTTCTGTTGGTCTATACAGAAACGGATTTTCAGCGCGCACTTAAGGATCGCAACTTGAGCTGCATAGGAGCAAAGCTGCATGATGCATTCCCCGCATCCAATTGCCAGTTTACAGTGGTTGTGCCCCGGCTGCGCCAGAGCAAACACAGCCACGAGGCGAATGCATTAATTGAACTACAACTGCTACAGCATTTGCATGTGGAGCAACTGGCTCAACCGCAATGCCAGGAATTGCTATCACTGCTGCAGCGCTACACTAAGGCCATAGCTGAGTTGCCATACAAGCAGCAGCGACAATCGATTCTGGGCAGCTTTAAGAAATACCTGGCCAATGATAACAAACAATGCGTCCGCGTGGAGCAGGGCAATGGCTATGGACGTCTCTGGCAACAGCATTTGAATCGTTTGCCACTGGTTACACTTGAGGTGGCCGAATCCATCATCTCTCAATATCCATGTCCCAAGCGCATGTTTCAGCACTTTGAGGAAGATCCACAGGCAGTGCAAACGTTGGCAGACATCAAAATCAAGCGCAGCAATGGACCACAGCCGCTACAGTCAGAACGAAGGATTGGCAATGTGCTTAGCAATAAGTTGTATACTTTATATACTACCAGGGATCCGAACACCTTAATATAGGGTTCAGTATACATTATATATAATTTAGGCCGTTTATTCAGCTGCTTATTTGGTTTTTGTTTTTACAATCGATCGCTTAGGTGCTTAAATAATAATTATATACAGTTCGCTAGTTCATTTATCTTTATATAATATAGTATATATATATATATTAAAAATCACAATATTTTTTATACGCATTCCCCTCTTAAAAATGTACATCATAATTGTTTAATTAGTTGTTAAGTTCTAGTTTGTAGTATATGCAATCGTGAACAATTTGTTGATAGATATATACTTCGATTTGGCGCGTAGAAAATACTATTTTAAAATTACGAATTTACGAATTGGATTTATATATAAAATAACAATATTGAATTAAATAACAAAATTACTTTGCTTTTTTTTTCGTTTTTGAACTGGATTATGAAGATATTGAATGCGAACTAGAAATACATATTAAATATACATATATATAAGTAAATAATTATTAGCATTAAGAGCTAAATTCACATAAATAATAAAAAAAGAAAACAGAATTTGAGGATGGGCAGGATTTGCGGTGCCATATGCTAGATAGTAGTCAGTCCGTTCGCAACTCTGTCTAGAGCGTGGCCAGAATGCGAAAGAAGCCCAAGCAGGCCGAGAATATGGTCTGTCCGACGCCCCAGAAGAGCGCGTAGATCGGTGACATGGGCAAACTGGAAGCGACGTGGACGAATGCTATGACGGCGCTGCTAATGATCCCGCTGCTAGCGGGCGAGACGAAGCCCATCACCAGAATCAGTATGGAAAAGAAGCGTCCGAATTTGTGGCGCCGGAGCGTCACAAAGGCAACCAAGGCGGCACAGGTATGTATAAATATGGATGAGAAGAGTGCCCACAGAAAGATATGATACCACATCTCACGGAACGTGTTGAGCCTCGACTGTGATCGTAAACCGACCACATCGACTATCGCATCCAGCTCATCGGTATCGTAGGGTTCGGAGTACATGACCAACAGTATCGGCAAGCAGTACGTATATATATAACGATAATCACGTATTCGTAGAATTTTGGCTACAATTGTTGGAAGTATCCTGTGATTGAGTTGAAGTTGTTGTCGTCGTCGTCGTTATTATTATTGTAATAATTTGTTTGGTTGCTAATTATTGCTTTTCCGTTGCAGCGACTCCTCGTTTTGGTCATTTGTAATTTGTTGTTGTCGTTGACTGTTTAATATGCACCTGCTGTAAACTGTAGGTAAAGCACAGCACATTGTTTCCAATTGTATTTAACATTGTCAATAAACCTGCAAATGGAAATATTGTAGGAAAACAAATACGTATTAGTTTTATCGACCTTTTGGCCCATCGCATGGCAACTCACATATACATACACACGCACACGTATGCATATAAGCATATATGCTAGTTGATTTGATCCTGTTACCCGTTCCCGTTCCAGCTAGCGCTCCTAAGTCTAATGTGTTGTCCTGCCCTTGTGCGATGAATAAATATTTTGCTTTGTTTTCGGTTTTGGGACAGGCAAAACTGGAATCGATTAAGAAGGCCACACCAAAAAATCGCACTTCAGCGGCAGTGTTTCACCAACTCCTAGCTAAGCATTTTGCGATTAGCTTTTAAATGCACAGCGTGTTAGTTTGTGATTAGTATTTGCATTGCACAATTGATATACGCTTGATTGATTACTAAAATGTTATGATTAATATTTCTATTTCTTTTTTTTTTTTTTGTATCACTTTAATGCGTTCTGTTTTACATGGTAACGAAGCTGGAACGCTTTGGTAAATGAACCAACCAGATAAGCTCAGCTGTTTCATGACTGTATCGATATACGACTATCGCACAGCTAGCTTAGCTGTGGCATTAATCGGTTGCCGTGTGTCTTTTGAGCTATGTGCATCACTAGTTGGCTCGCGGGCAGCTGACTTTCGCGTTTCGTGCGTGTGTTCAATTTGTGTTTAAGTGTGCGTCTTTAGCCCAGCCGGAAAAAAACTCGATAACTTGCTGAGCAACCTATAGTAGTGATTTTATAATAGTACTAATTAAAAGTAGCTAAATAATAATATGAATAAGGAGGAAGATTATGCCTCAGACAGCGATGAAAGCGACGAGGATTTTTGCCTAGAAAACGAGCAAGATGCGGATTCCGGCGATGAGGAAGAGGAAGAGGACAGCGAAAGCGATTCGGATAACGAAGATGACGCCGAAGAAGGCAGAAAAGCCAGTAAAACAGCAAAAGGCAAAAGGAAAGATAAAGTGAAGAAAAAATTAATAGATACAGGAAATTCCGAGTCGGGCGTCACACGCAGCACACGTCAAACCGAGCCTAAAGCGAGTGGGCGCAAAGTTGCGGAAAAGGATGAATTGGAATCCGATGAGGAAGTGGACAAATCGCGTTCCGATGCGCTCTGGGCTGACTTTCTAGGCGATGTCGGTGCCAGCAGCAAACCCGCTATAAGGCAAGAGGAGAAATCATCACCGGCAAAGCAAGCGCAGAGTCCGCCGAGTAAACCCGTCAAGCCGGCAACAGAGATTCTTGACTTTGCTGGCGAACAAGTGATTGTGGATAAAGGCAATTCCAGTTCCAGCACCAGTTCCAGTTCGAGTGCCAAGGAGAACCAACGGCAGCCGGCATCGCCGCTGACTAAATCGCCAGCTCCGCGCGGCTTCGCTGCCATCAAACGACCCGCCGCCAATGGCGGTGTAGTTGGTGGTGGCTTGGGCTCTCTTCTCAATCAGCTGGGTAAAAAGAAGAAAATGTCGGTGCTGGAAAAGTCGCAACTAGACTGGAAATCCTTCAAGAGCGAAGAAGGCATCGACGAGGAGCTGCAAACACACAACAAAGGCAAAGATGGGTGAGTAATTTGGCCTAACTTATGAAAATCTTGACTGATCGAAGTACACCATTTTGCAGCTACTTGGAACGCCAGGACTTTTTGCAGCGCACCGATCTGAGGCAATTCGAGATCGAGAAAAACTTGCGACAAACGCGACGTCAGAACTAAAAGGAAAACTCATTCTAATCCTCGTACAACATTTTCCACACACACACACACACACACACACGTTCACGCTCGCACTGTCCACACACACACACACACTCGCAGACGTCTTTTTCGGGTAGTGCGTATCTTATAAGATATAAGATATATAATTTTATATATATATGTATTTATATACTACTGTTCCAACCACTATCGCCTCATCTAATACATTCATCTCGTACTATTTTAAAATGTATAACGCTATAAACACTGAAGAGCAAAGCATATATATTATACCAAGAGATTAAGCGCTGAATGACTGTAATTTCCCATTGGTTGAGGAGAATGCTGAATACCTGTAACATAGACTTGCTTATAGCTGAATAAGGATATAGATGTTATATATATCTCCAACTATTCCTCAACGCTGCAGCCCACGCGTTTGGCATCGCTGCGACTTAGATGAAGGAACAAGCCGCCCAATATGCAGCCCAAGCTACCAAGGCCAATGCAGAGCCATCTAAACCAATTGTTGGCATTCAGCACGCTGTATACAGATAAAGATAAAAGCAGTTAAGAATTATTATTTGAAATACTCTTACTTAACTCACGCAAATATCTTTTTGTGCAGCAGCTGCGTTATCTTTTCATCCAGCTGCAGAGACTCCTCGATCCAGAAGAGTGGCATGGCCAAGGGACGCAGCTGCGCCATGGTGGGCACGTCCTTGACTGGCTTAACTTTCAAGCTGAACTGCAGGCGATTATATACAGAGAGCACTGTGCCAGATAGCTGTAGGACATAAGAATACATAGAGTGTAATAGACAGAGATCTTGTTAGAGTAGTTCTTCACCCACCTGCTCGAAGATCATTGTGCTGGCATGCTTAGCAGCTGTGGGCGAAAGTCCTTCCACTTGCTCGACTTGCTTTGGCTCCGCCTGATAAAAGTGCGGCAAGGATGCCATCAAAGGCGTGCCACTGCAGCGCATTAGGTCCATAGTGCCATCGGCTGGACAATCGCTGGGAAAATCCGTGCAGAAGCAGTGCAAATCCGGTTCCGTCTGGAAAGAGATTTGATCATGATTTTACAGTGAGCTTAACTTCAAAGAGAACCCTTATATATTTTTTAATATATTCTGTTTTCTCCTTCTAAGCGTTCCTCTTGGAGTGATCTCACTTACGCTTGGTGAACCAAAGCTTAGCTCGTATCGTTGAGCTGGCAGCTGGTTGTAATTGGTTTTGCCCATTGCCTTGGGTGTCAGGGAGCGACACAGCTGCGCCGAGTAGCTCCACAGACCGTGCTGTGGTTGCATGAGCGGTGCAAAGATGGTGCCATCTGTGCCGCGCAAGCGATTGCACCTGCTGCCGTTTGTCTCCTGCCACACCTGCAACTGCTCGGCCTCGTTGTAGGCGAGCACTTGGCCCACTGTCAGTTGATTAGAGCCGGAGGTGCGCTGCACCTTAAAGCGTCCGGCATTTGTGTGATTGCCCTGCAGAGGAAAGAGAATGCTGTTGATAGGAAAACTTTTGGCACTTTAACTTGCACTTGCCGCGCCCATCAGGGAGAACTTATAGTGTGTGGCATTCAGGGCCACAGCGCCGGGCACGGCGCCTGCTTGGAACTGCTGGCAAATGGCCTGAGCAGCGGCGTGATCTGAGCCGCAATTGACATCGATGCCAGCATAGAAGAGATCCTTGAACTTAGCTGTTATGAAGGCGCTCTGAGGCTGGAAAATCAAATCCAGGCCCTGGGCAACAGCAGCCTGCACCTCCGCCGGCTGTGCCAGATTGGCAATGCTCAGGAACTAGGCGAGATTGGTTTGCTTAAATATGGAGGACTCAGTTCAATCTTAAGCTCACCTGCAGCAAAGGATGCGGCATGGTTATCAGCTCCTCTCCGCTGAGCCCCAAATCCGGACGAAAATGGAATGTGTTGCGCATATTAAAGCTGACTGCGTTCTCTGCCTCAATATCCACTATATCATATTTGTCTTTCCACTCGCTATATAGAAAGAAATGTTCCTAAATTTTGTCTTTTTGGGCAACTGCTGCTTACTCATAGACAAAGGGACCCACTTCCTCTAGCTGCGGCTTACCACCGGCCTCGATATTCACTGAATTGGTGACATTGAAGACGTAAATCTTAAAGCTGAGCGGAAAAGGCATTTTCTCCCACAGCTGACGCGTCTCACTGCCAGGCTTCAGATTAACACTCTATACATATATTATATACTTTATATAACTCTTTGTTTAATCAGTTCCCAACTCACTCGCTTGATCAGCTGCTTGAAGATCATGGGAAATGCTAGAAATCCAATGAGTGCTCCCAGCAGTACTATCACGAAGGACACTATCATAACCTTAAGGTACATTTTCACCTCGACTGCTGAAACACTTTTGAGCTGTTTATTTTCGTATTGCCCCCATTTAAGGCATTTCGTGTGGCATAATTTGGGAATTTCTAATGTGACTTTCATCAATTTTTAATCGCTCCAACTCCTGGCAGAGCCTCGTAACCCTCAAACTTTTTTGTTATTATGAGTTTTCATATAAACTAAATAAGTTGCGTCTAATTAACAGTTGACCCATTTAATTAATTTTCTTAGAGCCTCTATTAAGTAATTAGTATATTGATTATATGCGGTGGAACTGTAAATTGTATTTAATGCATTAAATTTTTAAAGAAAGTGCAACAGGTGTGAAAATTTGTTTATAGTAGTGCTGCCAGCTTAGCCTGTTTCAGGCTAGATCTAATTTTCTTTTAATAATTGAATGGAATGGCTAAATTCCAAGGCTGACTATGCAGAGATCTAATAATTTTAAATATTAATGTACATATGCTCTTAAGCATATTAATATTTAGCCTTATTAAGCATATATGTATGTATATGCTTGCTTATGTGTATATCTGTCTCTCTCTGTGCCTCCCAGTGCGTCTCTCCTGACGAAGAACTATAGAGGTTCGTTCAAGTTGCCTCTATGTGTGCAGCAGTAGTCGCGTCGTATTTATATAGAACTAACACGAAGCTGGAATCTCTGCAGCAGCAGAGAGTCTTCCCATTGGTCGCTTAAAGCTCGACGGCAACGATCTCTGCCTGGCGCCTGGCTCAACATTTGAGCGCGCCCAAGTACGTGAGTGGAAGTTGCCCTATATAAGGGGCAGCAGCTGTAGCATTTCTTCAGTCGCCCAGGCCTGTTACGTGGGGTCAGTCGTGCAGTGTTGTAAAGTGAAGCATTACGGACGAAGAGGAAATACTTGGCGGGAATATTTGGAGAAAATACTGAGAGCAAATAGTGTGAGGAAATACTTGGAGCAAAGAGAGAGAGCGAATATTTAGAGGACAGGTTGTTTTTGTAACGTTGACATTAAAAGACAGTAAAAAGGTAAGCAATTAATACATAGCTGTGCGTACATATTGTGCGCCAAATTAATATATAATTTTCTATTTATTATTATGATGCGTACAAAATGGCTACTGCAAATAATTATTACTTTCTTTTCTTCCATTTTCTCAACTAGCCAGCTATTCTAGCATTTATTCCTACATTTTAGCCTTTTTCACTCCATTTTTTATCCACAATCCAACTTCGCTGCTCAACAGCTGGCAGCGCTGAATATTTAGCCAAGACAAGAACCTTTTAAGTGCGACTTAGCTCGCTTACAGTGGTGGCCAGAATAAGCATGTCACAGGTGAAGAATAGTAGAAAATATGAAATTTATGCTATAAAAGTCCAATAAAAACATATCTCGTTTCACATTTAGGCCATTTGAAGACATTTATTATTAAATTTGGCATTTGGAATATGATCAACATAACATAGAAAAGCCGCAGGCACTGAGCGTTTGGCTAAAACTGAAAAAAACATGTAAATACTAAGCTATGTATAAACTACATTTATGTATATGTATAGAGGTGTATAGTTAGGACGTTCAGTTATAAATATATATTTATATATATAGGTGTAAATTATATACACTTAAATTCCACTAAGAGAGCAAAAATAAAAACTAAAACTAAATTTGTACAGTTCTCAATATGTTGAAGATACGCAGATCTGAATATGTATGTGTAGATCGTACATAAATATGCATATATGAATATATATAGTTTGTATATGATGAAAATCAGTCGAGATTCAGGAGTGGGAGAGAGATTCGTTCGAGTTCTAATCGAGTTCCACCTCCTTGAAGAGCGTTTGGCTCTCGGCTTCGCGTGTGAGCGGCAGGGCAGCCTGATCCTCGTGCAGCTCGACAATCTCCAGCTCCTTGAAGGACGTTTGGCTGATGGCCTCGCGTGTCACCGGCTCCTCCAGCACCTGTTCGCTGGTGGGCGGCAAGGACATGCCAGCTGAGAGCATGTGCGAAGCTGAAGTGCTACAAAGAGAGAGAGAGAGAGAGGGAGAAATGTTAGTTAACTAATTAAAGTCTTTAATCTCAGTTAGACTTACTTCAAGGAGTAGGTGGAGCGATAGAGCGGCGGCGGCGTATTCATGCGCACCGCTGCATACGCGGCCTGCGGATGAGCGCTGGGATGATAGACGAAGGCGTATTCATTCAGCGACGTCAAGTAGGAGGGCGGCGGGGGTCGGTGCTGAAACTCTGGATAGAGATAGCTGCCCGGCAGCAGGCGATTCGTGCAGTGCGGACTATTGCAGTTCCGGCACGTCTCCATGCGCCGGAAGCAGGGGCAGTCGTCGACATCGTCCGGCAAACTGAGCCGCCAGATGGCGCCCGAAATGACCAGCAGCGAGACGCCAATGCCAATCATCAGCAGCGCCGCGCTCAGATACTGCGTCGAGTGCTCAATCAGCCCAGTGGACCCGAGCACAATGCCGCCCAGGGTGCAGGCAACGCCGCCCAGCGCAAAGATGCCAATGACGAAGGGCAGCGAGGGTCGCGCAAACCATTTGCGAAAACTGTACCCCAACGGCGCACCGCCCAGCTCCACGCCGTCCGCGGCACCGCCACCCGCCATGGCGGACATGTTCAGATTGGTGCCGGCCAAGCTGCTGCCCACATCGCCGCTGCCACCGGCCAGCGGTACAGCCACGTCCAGGAGCGTCCTGTAAGCAGAAGAGAAGAGCGTGCACTGTGAGAAATAGTGGCTAGAAAGGGTTGTTGAAAATAATATATACTTATATGCAGGTAGATGTATGAGAAACAGAGTTGATTGAGAATGTTGATCGATGGGCAGGAGACTTATATAAGATAGAGAAGGGGGTATATACATAGAAGTTAGTTCAGATTACTTGGCATATGGCAATCTTTCTATAAGAAAACGTATATCTATGAAAAAGATTATCACATATTCATTTATATATATAGTTTTATCCGCGTACACTGAGATACATACATATATTTTCTGATATTCCCTATATACCAATTAAATATCTCTTAAATCTCTTCTCACATTTCCAATTGAATTTCTACATACATAAATTTATACATATTTCTCCTATTCCAATTAAATTTCTCTCCCTCTTTATTTCGCTCAGTGCATGAAATTGATCGCTGACTACCTGAGTTCCGTTGAGCTGTTCAGGTAGCTGAGCTCTATTTGCTGCAGCTCACATTACATCATAGCTCCAGGGAGGATCCTTAGCTCAGCCACATGTTACGCGGCCTCAACACGTCCTTTGCACTTGGGCCCAAAAACTAAGCGTACTTTATTCCTACTTGCCCCGCCCCTGTCCCTGCCACTGCCCAGCTCCGAGCTGCTGCGCTTTGTCTGGCTCTCAGATCTATGATTTAGAGAAAAAAAACAAAAACATTTGCTGTCCAGTTTGTGCCTGCATAAATTGTCGAAGGAAAAACAACAAAAATCTTTGAGCTCGACACATTGCACCTGCCTCTGTCCTGACTCAGACCCTCAGATCCTTAGACACACACACACACACACACGCAGATAGATCCCCGGCATGCCCCTCGCTGTGCGTGTGCGTAGCCCATTTGATTTTTAGAACTTGCTTTGGCAGCTGTTTCACATTTGATTTGCTGTTTGGCTTTTGTCTCTGCGTCTGCATTGTATCTTATCTTCTTCTTCTTCTTTTTTGTATCTTTTGGCTGTCAGTCAGACAATGGCAGAGGCAGAGGGACTACCCCTACTATTTGCTTTTACTACATATATTTAAATGCATTGTTCACTTTTTCTCTCTTCTGTTTTAATTGCGTCCAGCGCGCAATATTAAAACTCTATAAAACTATGAAATCGTCTGCTTTAAGGTGTGAAAAGCAAACAAATTTTTGTTTTTTTTTTTTTTTTGTTGCATCGTAAAACCAAAATATGCGCATAAATCAAAAGCTGACGGCCAGGAAGCATTCAACAATAAAAAACAACTTAAAGGAAAGCGTTTGAAAAGCCCTAAAAAAAATTGAAGAGCATAAAATTGGGGTTGTGGTAGGGGCTGGGGCTGATGCTGGAATGGAGACTGAGTGTGACTGAGGCTACGGCTGACGGCGAGTCAAACGCTCGAGATTTCATTTAATTACAAACGCCCAACAGCTGCGGGCGCTGCGAGGCCCCGATCAGCGGCTCCCTCAGACTAATTCAAAGACAAAGCGCGTCACACTCAATTGTACGCAATTTGTCATACGAATCTAAAAAAAAAAATAAATAAAATAGGGCAAGTGGTGTGAAACCCACAGAAAATGCATAAAAAATGTGAAACTATAACATTAATTAGGCTGTTGAGGAAATTGGAATGCTCTACGGCAAAAGAGGGGGAGACTATACATATAGGATATATGATATGATGTGAAGGAATGTGGGGAATAATCTGATTATGAATTACGTTTTAGACAGCTTTAGAGGTAGAGTTAAGAAAGGCCTAGGTGTTGGCTAGCTAATTTAGTTTAAAACTAACTTTTAATATATGTATATCAATAAAGATATATATTTAAATTTTAGTAAATATTTTTATTAAAATAAATTCTTGGAATAAATTAAATAAATTTTATTATTATTTATTAGATATTCTATTATTTTATTTATTATTTATATATATTATATTTATAATTATTAATATATATCAATAAAAATATGTATTTCAATTTTAGAAAATATTTTTATTAAAATAAATTCTTGGAATAAATTAAATAAGTTTTATTATTATTTATTAAATATTTTATTATTTTATTTATTATTTATATTTGTAATATTCATAGAAAAATTGTTTTTAAAAACTTTCTATATCTATCTATTTTTAATAAAATAATCTCAGTTTGAATTACATTTTCAATGATCTTACTTTGATTTATTTGCCAGCAAATTCTTTGTGATGTAATATTTTTTATTTTTATTTAAACCCAATGATATTTGTGATATTTTTATATAATTTCAGCAATTGAAAGAAGTTCACTCAATACAAGTTTTTATATACATTTCTCCGATAAGAACGAGTTTCAGTTGCAAATTAGATAAGTTCAGCTCAGCTGTGCATACAGCTCATATGAATCAGCTATTATATATAATTATATAGAAAAAAATATAATATATATATATATATATTTATATATATATCAAGTCCAACCAACAGCCATGTAATACAAGTCACAGAAAATGAGAAAAAATATAGAAAAAAAAACAAGCTGACTTCACAGTTTATAAACGTAATTGGGGCGTAAAGAGAGACATCAATTTGATATTATATGAAAGCGCAGCTCTTATTAAAAGTTTTTTGCTTTTTTCTGTTTAATAAAAAATATATAAATATATAGATATATAAATATATTTCTGTTGTAAACATTATGTATGTCGCGTATTGCCACACTTATTTATGACATTTGTAAGTTGTCAAAAAAAAAGAGAGAGAAAAAAAAAGAAAAAAAACTGCTGATGTATGCTGTCTGGTCGTACATCACAGAAATGATGGACATACATCGCGTTGGCTCTGCCATAAATTTGATGCAGCTGTACAGAGCATAATTCACTCAAAAGCTTCATTTACAATTTGCAACACGTACGAAATATATATACATATGTATATACATATATATAATAATATGCATGAGTTTGCTCGCTGCATGGCTGCTTTGTATCTGTCAGATACTTTCGTTCTGCCCGGGCCATTACAATGTCTTTAATGATCTTTGGCTAACTGTTTGACATAAAAGTTCGATCATTTGTCAGCTAGATCGTTAGCTAATGAAGCGACACGAGCCACAGCAGACATATAAGATACAAGATACATTTCTATATATGTATATAGTGAGAGCAAAAGATACTTAGATACAATAGTTGTGCCTGCCTCGGCTGCAGTGTGGCACTTGTGACTTATGCGCTTGCATCTCGACACTGCCAGCATTTTTAATGACACCTTTCAGCACACACACACACACGCACGCATCTAATTTATGTGCAAGTGTGTGTGTGTGGCATTTATTGTTATTCGAATATGCTCGCTGCACTCTCGTTGGCTCATAAACATTTCTCAGTTTTGGTTTCGGTTTCTGTTTCTGTCTCTTCGACTCTTAAGCTCAATCAGCGCGCATTGAATTCGAAATGGGGCAGCCAGGCGAGATGCTGCCACAGATAGCTCGCTCACTGTGCTACATGCGGCAAGGCAAGGCAAGGCAAGGTATATGCCATACGAATGGAATGACCATAAACGTGCCGAGAACTGCTCGAATATCGTATATACGGAATATCGTATTCGACTGAAGATCAAATTTAATGGATCTGTCGCAATTCATCGATAAGCTGATTTTATTATTATCAAATGAAGAGATCATTTGAAATATTTGTGTTTTTATGCCAGCTATCTTAGACGATTTTGAATGTTGTCCATCGATGGAGTTATTTCGATATTATGTAAAACATAAATATTTCATTGCCTTTCTAGCTGCGGGCAAGTGTAAATCTTATCAGCTTAAGATACTGAACTGAGCAGGCCTTTTGTTATAGATGTGACAAGCCGGCGTAGGCGTGGCCGAGTCTATAGAGTGTAGAAATTCTTATTCAGCAGCTATAGTCGAGTGGAAGTAGTTCTACTCCATATATTTAATTTCTGATAAGTATTATTATTGTCTGAAATGTTCTCTTGTTGTATATGTGCTAAGAACCTTGAAATGCTTGAGTTCCGAGAGTTTCCTAGTCGGATATCATTGAACCCTTATTTACACATCTTCCAGATCAATTTGACTGTACGACGATTATTGATAAATAATAATTCATATAATGTGGAGTCCCTAAAATCTAATAAAGTAATCTAACATATACTTTCATCTAAACATACGCTTCCATAGTGTAGTTCCCCAAATAAAGTAATTATAAGTCAATCAAAAATATATGCTCTAAGAGCTGACTAAGTGTGGTGCCCCCTTTCGGAGTTCTATGATTATAGGGTATTTCAATTGAAGTTGTTATTGGATTGCGTAGCATAATCTCCGCCGCGACTTCCGTTGCAATTTAACTGTGCTATTGTCTGTGTGCAAGATCCGATTCGAGAGTCGAGACTTGAGACCTGAGACTTTCTTTGCCGCGTCATTAGCCGCAACGAACGCATTAAGCCACTTGCTGCTTGCTGACCCAATTTTCGGCTTTGGGCCTCTAGCAACAGTTGGCTGTCATTAGGCATAATTACTTCCCTAATAGCATTTGCTGCTTTTGGCCAGGTTGGTTTTTGTTACTTCTTTCTATATCTCTCCCCGTCTCTCCCTCTCTCTCTCTCTCTCTGTGCGTACTGTTAAAAACATTTACATTGCGCATGCGTAGCCCAAAACACTTGACCAGCCGGCTCTCAGCAGCTGGGACATAATTAAGAATGCCATTAGAGTAAAAGCCGCCAGCTAAAAGACAATAGAAGCCGTAATTGGGTGCCAAAAAAACAACACCGAAGAAAAAAAAAAACAAAACAAAGTCAAATAGGAAATGCGTAAATGTTATAAAAAAAAAGTCAAGCCACGTCTTGTCTGTACTTAATATATGTAAATGTACTTAAAATGGAAAGAAAAAAATAGAAACACTTTGAAATTAAAAATTTCTCGTTTGAAATTAGCCGCCGCGGCATGTGAGAAAGGCGTCGTCTGAGTCCGAGCCGAATTTCACGTAGTCACAGTACAAAGTATGATTAAAAGTCAATTAGAATTATTAGGCATAAATTTGGAGCTTAGGAGATCCTCCACAGCTGCTGCTGGGCAGAGGAAAACGTTAAGCGGCTTAGGCCATAAATCGCTCTAGCTATTGTTTACAGCTTAACTGGGCCTATGGCCTGACCCAGTCGAGCACGAGCTCATGTGTGTAGGCTACTGTTTGTGTCGTGCCTCCTCCTACTCCGCCTGCCCCCCAGTTTTGTAGAAGTAGAAGAAAAATGATGATGAGCCCGATGCCGTCTAAGAGCTTTAAGAGCCCAGCCTATCATTAAACAGAGCGCACTCTTCAGACACACACAAAGCCAGACAGCCAGCGGTTCTTTTGCTTCTTCTTCTTCTTCATCGACTCCACTCTAATGAATGCCCACATTAAGCTGCACTTAAGCTCGGTTTGAGACATAACTGTACTGCAACTAATGGATTTCTTTAGATATATCTAAAGGTACATATACATATACATATATATCATTAGATATTTTTAAAAAAGCCCTAGCTGTTGAGCTGTCTGCCCGTTGTTAGGCTTAGGGCTGTTTAGCAAATTTGTTTAGCAACCCTTAAGGCTAAGCACTTGAAAAATATTATTAGGCAGCAACTGGAAGTGCGGTAGCTGAAGTTGATTGCCCTATGATCCATTTCATATACACTAACTGTGGCCAAGAACAAAATTTTGTTGAGTATGTAACGGTTATATCTTAATATAGTATATGATATAAGAGTGGTACGAAGTACATCAATCAAATTCCTTAAAATATAATGTCATATAATATATATATATATAAACTAAAAGTATATATTTTAGCTATAATTTAACTTAAGATTCATTATTGAATATATCTTAAGATCCATAAAATAAATGCAAATGCAAAATTATTAAGACTCTTTTATTAATACTTTTTGTTCTGCTCCCTATCTCTGTTTTTTATTTTAACAAAACCAAATTATTTTTAATATATAATGAATAGACTTTAAATGCTGAGCACAAATTAGGTCAAGTTCAAGAACTTTTTAGCCTTAGTCGAACTTTTTGAACTTAAATAACATTTATTTATAAATTACTTGGCCAGTTGAAATATTATATCCTATAAACACGTATTTCAAAGCGTATTCACTCTTCAAGGGTTCAAAGTCTTTCTACATGTTCCAAAAATTTCAAAGTCAATTTTTTGTTGGTCTGCCCTCATGCCTGCATCTGTCTGATAAAATATGCCAGGCCGAACGAAAAAAATAAAGTAAAATTCAATTTTGCTGTAAAGTGTGTGAGGAGGTTTGTGGATTGGGTCCGGTCTTTGGATAGGATTTGGGGTTGCTGTGACAGAGCGCTCGAAGGTAACAGCATTTATTATCAATAAACGCCAAAGGCCATTCAAAAAAGGGGCGAGACACAGCCAAAAATCAACTTTGAGTTATAAAAACGAGAAGAAGCAGAAGTAGAAGCTGGAGATTTGTGAGTAATGAGCATTTTATGGGCTGATGAGTTTCGTAGTGAGTGTGTGTGTGTGTGTGAGTGTGTGCGTGGCACAGATTAAAGACGCAGTTATATGATACTTCGACCGCAGGGACTTTGTGAATGGGGGCAGGTTTGTCTGCTCATTCATCAGGATGTGCGAGGACATAGGATTATAAAGCAGGCCACGCCAAGCCAAGCCGAGCCGAGGCTAGTTAAGTGACGAGCGAGACGACCACAAAACTGAAATTCAACCTGACTATTGATGCGACTTCCTCTGCACACTTTAACTCTCCCTCTCACTCTATCTCTCTCTCTCTCTCCCTTGCTCTGTGGTGTCAAATGACAGCGTCAAGAATGCCGCACTGAAAGGTGAGTTCAAGGAACGCAAAACTCTGTTGAACACAATTCGTGCCAAGGCACTAAAAATATACAACGAAAAAATTTCAATTCGAACTCTAGGCCCAATTTTTTTAACTGTGCACTCAAGCGTTACACTCTCTATCGATTTTTATGTGCACAACAAATACACACAGGGCAGACACATTACATTGTCAAATAGATTGTCACATTATATTGAACTCTCGTTTTTGATTTGTTTAGGCGGGTTTTCTTCTTTTTCTTGCGTTTTTCCTATGAATTGTTTGAGTGTGTGTGTGTGTAACTTGTTGCCAATGTTTGTTTCATATTGAAAATTGATATTTTCTGATATGCAGCACAAACAATTGTTTCAATTAACTCTCAAGTGCTATTTAATGTTGTCATAGATACCCTGGAAACAATTAAAATGGAGTGTTAATGAGTGGCGAGTCTTTATGGAAGGCTGAACTGGGTTTCTCTGGAATATATCTATATATTAGCTTTTCAAATTGTTTTAGTTATAGTTAAGGGTATTCCCTATTTAGACAGCAGTTTGCATTATAGTAGCCTTAATAACACTCGAGATAATTATATATTAGCAAAGCTACTAAATTAGAAATTTTCTCATATTTTTTAATATACCTATTATAAAATTTATTAAATATGTCTCACACATTTTTTTTTAAATCAAAATTTAAGTAATTCTTAAAAATCTTTAAAAGGCATCTTCCAGTCATTCAATCAGACATCTTTTAACATTTTTTAACGCTATCAAAATGCATTTCTGACAGCAAATATTTGACTGCTGCGCGACATAAATGTCATAATTTTTCTCTTTTTATGATCACTGTGGACTCTTGGGCATATAAAAACACATATAATATTTCGATTGGTTTGATAAGGGCATCTTGGGCCTTGGCATCTTGTTAAAGCTTCCAAATTGCTGTCTATCACTTTTTCTTTTTATTTGGACCTCGTGGAGTGTCTCATGTCAATCGTCTCGTTTTTATAGTTCCAGTATTTCCAAATTGGCTTCGTTACGTTTTCCTTGACCCATAGAAAAGGGGGCTTGACTAATACCTAATGCAGGTGTCCATCAAATATTTGTTACTGCCGCCGTATCGAGTGTGGCTAATTGTAAAACTTTACGAAGCATTACGAGAATTTCATGTGTGCTTCTGGTTGGTATTTCGAGTCTTTCTCTTTGAGTTCATTAATCAAAGTCGTTTACTTTAATTAATATTGTTGTTGTTTTTCATGTGTTATTATTTTTAGTTAAAACTTGCCTAAAAATACATTTTTTGGGCTCTTATAACTATGGCAATTAATCAAAGACATTTTCTGTTGTTGTTGTTGTTGGACATGTTCCATGTTCTGTTGGGCTGACAAAATTTATGCGCCACTATTAATTTTTATGCTTCTAGCACAAAATTCCACGAATTGATGAGCAGGGTGGGCATGTGGGAGACTAGCGAGATACCCTGTATATGATTTCTGAGAGTTAAACATTTCTGGGCAGCTATTGCAGCTAAGGGAATTTAAATTTGTTGACTAATTTAAGCACTTTTGATTGGTAAACTCACATGTTATCGATAACATGTATTGCAGGCGTAGGGAGTTATTCTTCAAGCTGATTTTGTATATTTATTGATCTCTTATGAGTAAGACATGATAAAGGCATTTTGGCAATTGGGATTTTTGTAAATAGTTGATCGATAATAGCTTTAACTCTTTATCTATAGTCAAATTTGATTACAACTTTTTTTAGACTTGATTATGAATAAAGATTGTTAATAGCAAATCAGTTGTCGAATATATGAGAATAAATGAAGACAAAATAAACGGGTTTTTGTATATATCGATAAACGATAGTTAACATGCATTAAAGCAGAAACTGCAGACAGACTTCGACTAATTGATAAATAGATAAATTTTTGGTCATTGCAATAGACATATATTCAGTCAGCTATATATGACTTAATCCTGCCTTATCACTTTCTAGCCAATATACCCAATTGCAGTCACTACTACAGGGCATAGGCACAGCTTTTGTGATAATCGCCGAGGCCTTACATGTGACATGTTAAACAGCAGCAGCAGCAGCAGCAGCAGAGCAACAGCAGCAGCAGCAGCGGCAGTTGTGCCCCTCGTAGTGGCAAGTACAAGCGTCTACTCGTATCTTCAGCTTTATGGAATTCCTCTCGTGTGCATATCAATGTCAGTTAATCTGCCCAATAAGGCATAAAGTGGAGTGGCATAGAGAGCCGACTCTCGACTCTCGTCTCTCGACTGTCGAGTGTCGAGTGTGGCTGCCCTTTAAAGACTCGCCAAGCAGCAGCAAATCTCTGCTCCAGTTTCGTCTTTGGCTTGTGCAGGGGGGGAGGGGAAGAGCATTTGCTTGTGCGTGACATGATTTTTGTTGAATGATAAACTTTTATTTCTGGAGCAGCAGAAAGAGAAGCAGGAGTGGGAGGAGGAGTAGGCCTCGCGGCAGCATGCCAATTATAATTTTAAATGCGTCTGTCAAACTTTCGGTTTCAGCGAGACGTCCACATCGAGTGGCTACTGTGGCAGCGCTGCGTCTGACCGGGCGAGGCCAGACAGTAGCCATTTTTAATGGTCACTTCCTGAACGATTGCTCTGTGTGGCTGTCTGCCCTTTGGCTACTGCTGTCATTTTAGCGTCTGGTTTTATGCCACTTTTTATGGCACATTTCGTGCATAAGAAAACGAAAAAACAAAGAGAGAGAGGAGGAAGATGAAGTTACCTGCGCAGATGATGATGACCATGCGGATGGGTCAGACCCATGGGTCGCTGCTGATAGTATTGATGGTATTGCAGCTCGGGATTCGCATTGAGGAAGGGTGAAGTGGCTGCAGCATTGGCCATGGCATTGGCTGCCGCAGCCGCTGCCGCTGCCGCCGCGGCGTTATGATGATGATGATGATGGTCGAGGAAGATGGCCGTGTACTGTGGCGGATAGCTGCCAACAGGTGGCGCTCCATTGGCAGCAACTGTGGCGCCAGCGCCAGCAACTGCAACGGGATTGTTGTTGTTGTTGTTGTTGTTGCATTTGCCTTTGCTACTGCCCTTGGTGTGGGTCTTGCGGCGCGTGCGCTTGCTCTGGCGCGAGTCGGAACGCGAGCAGGCGCTCGTATTGAGCGCTGCTGCTGAGGGCGGTGCAGCGGCGCCAGCTGCAGTCGACGTGAATTGCAGCTCACTGTAGATGCTCGACTCGAGCATGTTGCTCTCGGATGTGGTGCGATTCAAGATGAATTGCTCGAATTCGTTATCCTCCTCCGCCGAGAGGCCACATTGCTGCCGATGCTGCTGCTGTTGTTGTTGTTGTTGCTGCTGCTCTAACAGCGCTGTACATTCGGCAGACATTTCCTCATTTCCATTCGGATGCGCTGCCTCAATGTCATGGCGACTGCGATGGAGGCTGTTGCTGCTCTGACTGGCGCTAATCACAATTTCCGGTATGACAAATGTCGAATTTGGCAGCGGGGGCGGCTGTTGTTTCCTTTGCTCGCTCATGGCGCCCAGCATGGTGCCGTTTTCAAACACAATTGTGGGCGTGGCAGCCATCACTTAATTAGCACAAATTCACTTAGCTCGTTTAGCTCTTAAGCACTACAGATTTATTTTTATATATTTTTTTTTCTTTTCGGGTTCCTAATTGCGCCCTGAATTTATATCATTTTTAGTTTTACACAAATACTTGTTATAGATTTTTCTTCAGCTTATTTTCGTAGCTCGACTTTCGCCTGTACGCGCCAAATTTTTACGCACACGAGTTTCGCAGCAATCAGCTTTTTGCTTGGTGCAACGGATTAAGCTCCTACGCTGCGTGCCTGAACCGTCTCGGTGCGCGTACCGCCAAAAACTGATTTGTATTGTTGATGCGTTTGTTGTGTTTACGGCTTCTGGTTTTTCAACTTCAATCGCTCTCTCGTCCATTCGTTGCTCGCTCTCTTGCTTGGTTTGCTCGTGACGACGCCGACGTCGCTAATGGTTCTCTCTGGCATCAACAACCACCACCGCCACCACCAACACAGTTGACTTGAACTTCGTGCGCTGCATCTCATTGACGACGTCACTAATGCTGCTGCACTCTCAATAGCAACAACAACAGCGGCAGCGCATTGCGCTCACGCACTAACACTAGCAAGAAACACCCTCGCCCTCACACACTCGTTGCAAAGATGTTCGACGAGTTTTCGAGCTCCACAGTTCGTGTGCGTTTGCTCTCCGCTCGTCCTCTCTTTGTTTGCCATGCTTGCTTGTTGTTTATGTTTGGCTCTCCCTCTCTCTCACTCTCTCTCTCTCTATAGTTGCTTTCGTCCAGGAGCGCATCTTTACTTCGGGCGCATTTGTAGTAGGCATTGCATGTTGCTTGAACTCTGCTGCAGTCGCTCCTGTGCCCGTCGCTTCACACTTTTACTAAAAGAACATTTACATGTAAGAACACGCTGTTAGGGCGCCCCTGCTTGGGCCCGCATATGCCACAGCTCTGACTCTGCCTCTGCCTCTGCCTCTGACTCTGCCTCTCTCCCTGGCAACTCACTTTAGAACGAAAAGAAGAAAACATAAAATGAAGCCAAACAAGAACTGTGACCAGGAAGGGACAGCCTGGCTCTCCAAATAAACACCACAAAATCCCAGTGTGCAACGAAAATCTATCTGCAAGATACAGATATACACACACAAAAACGTTTGTGTGTTGAATGCCGCATTACACATTTATATATATATTTTTTTATATTTATTCTTTTTTTGGCGAGGGTGAAATATTGTTATTGTGCTGCAGGAACAGTTTCAGTAAAGTCTACTCCATATAATAGAATATTATTTCTATTATTTTTCTTGTTTATTTCAGCTATTCTTCAGTTTATTTGCAATTGTATCTTTTTGGGTTTTTTTGTTGGCTGTCCTTTCAGGCATTTAATTAAAATGCAACGTAGAACAAATAATATTTGAATTTTTGTTATGCTTCTTGCTCTGTTGGGTCACTTCAGCCTTGGCCCCGACTTGTTGTTGTTGTTGTTGTTGTTGGGAAGTTGTACAGCTTTCTGTTGCAATTCGAGTGGCACTCCATGGAATAAAAGCGAATAGCACAAATATTTGCCATTATTTTGAAGTTACTTTGAGTCTCTCCTGTCGAGGAGGGTCCACACAAATACAAACACAAGCAAAAACACTAAAGCTTTGAAATGTTGATTCAAGACGCATCTTGGCCAAGATTGTGCCTTATTAGCCTAATGGCTATTAAGCTAATAACTCTTGTATCTCAGCCCTCGGCGGACTGAGCTAAGCTCAGCTGAGCGCCACTCGAACTGACATGAAAAGTAAAAGCTAACGTTTCAGCCAATATCAAAGTCACGGCGTCTGCACATTTTAGACAATTACCAATCTGTTCAGACACGCATATGTCTGCCATATAATTTCCGATTTTGTTGCCTGTGTTTTTTTTTTGGCAATAGCCCTGCAGACAAAATGTGGCTTAATCATAAGATACAATACGCTTGCGCAAATTAGCCGAGACTTGTAGCCGAATCGCCAGTTGCTGCAGTCTGACCCTACCCTTTAAAAAGCGACCCTTTTTAATACAGTGTTAGCTTAAAATAGCGCTGGAGGTTAGCTTGAAAGTGTGAGCAATTTATGGGCTGTTTATTTTATTTTTAAAATATTTATATATCGTTTAATATATAAGATTATATTGATGTTAGGAGTTAGGCCAGTTAGGTTAGGGCAGATAATGTTTATCTACAGCTCTACAGTTGGCTCTCAGCTTAAGTCCTAAGGTTTGGGGTTCAGGAATAGAAACTATTTCCATAGTACATTTTTATTTTTATTTGATTCTTATTTGTTTAACAATTTAAGTTCAATCACAAATTCTAACAAAATAAAAAGTTTTAGTTCATATCAAACTTTATCTGCGCCGTTTGAGTATCTCAGAGTCGATCAACTGCATTATGCTTAGCTGTTTATTTAATTATACCCTGAACCCATTGAAAATGGGAAATCAGGGTATAATGGTTTTGTTAAAATGTATGTAACAGGCAGAAGGAGGC